AAGGGGAAAGAAGAAGGAGGACAAGGAGGAGGAGAAGAAGAATCAGAAGGAGAGAAGAAAGGAGAAGGAGGGGGCAAAGAAGGAGGAAGAAGAAGGAGGAGGAGAAGAAAGGGGAAGAGGAAGAATGAGAAGAAGGAGAAGGAGGGGGAGAAGAAGGAGAAAGGAGAAAGAAGGCAAAGGAGGAGAAAAGAAGGAGGAGGAGGAAAACAAGGAGAATGAGAAGAAGGAGGAAAACGGAGAAGGAGAAGGAGAAAGGAGAAGGACAAGGAGGAGGAGAAGAATAGGAAGAAGAAGAAAGGAGAAGAGGAAGAATAAGAAGAAGGAGAAAGAAGGAGAAGGACAAGGAGAAGGAGGAGAAAAGCAGAAGAAGAAGTAGAAGGAAAACAAGAATGAGAAGAGAGAAGGAGAAGGAGAAGGAGAAGGAGAAGGAGAAGGAGAAGGAGAAGGAGAAGGAGAAGGAGAAGGAGAAGGAGAAGGAGAAGGAGAAGGAGAAGGAGAAGGAGAAGGAGAAGGAGAAGGAGAAGGAGAAGGAGAAGGAGAAGGAGAAGGAGAAGGAGAAGGAGAAGGAGAAGGAGAAGGAGAAGGAGAAGGAGAAGGAGAAGGAGAAGGAGAAGGAGAAGGAGAAGGAGAAGGAGAAGGAGAAGGAGAAGGAGAAGGAGAAGGAGAAGGAGGAGAAGGAGAAGGAGAAGGATTCATCTCCTCCTCAGGTTGTGTTGGAGCCCAGAACAACCAGCGCCGCGAGACGGGAGGACAGAGAAGCCAGAGGTGGTTCCAGACGCCCACGGGTGGGTGGGTGCCGGGCTGGGTGCCGGCCGCGCTCCCGCTGGCCCTGGGGACACGGCACGTCTGGGGCAGGAGCTGGGAAAGCATCGACCACCAACACACACCAGCGACGGGGAGGGGCTGGAGAACTGGGATACAACTGGGAAACGAGTGTCCCATGGTGTGGGACCCGGGATGTGACACCCACCCCACTGCAGGTCCAACCCCTCAGATCCATCGGTGAGACCCCCACATCAGCGGGCACCGCTTGTGCCCATCGGCACGTTGGTGACACCTCCATGCTGATGTCACGTTTGAGATGGAGCCACCTTCCTCCTCTTGTAGTCTGGGGGTTTGCTGCCTTCTGGGACCATCCTTGTCCCCCTTGTGTCATCTCATGGCAGCGAGGGGATGGGGGAGAAGATCTTGAGGAGGGTAGGGGGGGGTCTTGTAGGTGAAGCCATGGGCCAGACGTGGTCACCGGGCAGGTCCTACCAGGGGGGTTTGGGCAAAGCATCTCGCTGAAGGCATCTCCGAGTAGGTAAGGCAAAAGGAATTCAGGTCACTTCATCCCGGGGGGGGCAGCTCGGTTTTGGGGTGTCCCGTTGCTCCCGTAGACACACACTCTCCAGGTACCCCGAGAAGATTGGTGAGGTGGTGCTTAAAGATGAGACAAGGAGAAGATTGGCCACCCCAAAGCCCAAATCCATGAAGGAGCCGTTGCACCGGGAGCGTTGCTGCACCACAGGAGCTGCTGTGGCACCACCGGGGCTCGGCGTGGGGATGGGGCCATGGGATGGGTGGTGAATGGCCCCATGGCTGCACCCAGGCTGACCTTGACCCTGGTGGGACCATCCCTTGTGGGACCAACCTTGGTAGGCTTGACCCTAGTGGGACAAACCATGGTGGGATCAACCCTGGTGGGACCAACCCTGGTGGGACCAACCCGGGTAGACCCGACCCTGGTAGACCCAACCCTAGTGGGACAAACCCTGGTAGACCCAACCCTAGTTGGATCAACCCTGGTGGGACCAACCTTGGTAGGACCAACCCTGGTAGACCTGACTCTAGTGGTGTCAACCCTAGTGGGACAAACCCTGGTAGGACCAACCCTGGGAGGACCAACCCTGGTGGGACAAACCCTGGTGGAACCAACCCTGGTGGGACCAACCCTGGTAGGACCAACCCTGGTGGGACCAACCTTGGTAGGACCAACCCTGGTAGACCCGACCCTAGTGGGACAAACCCTGGTGGGACCAACCCTAGTGGGATCAACCCTGGTGGGACAAACCCTGGTAGGACCAACCCTGGTGGGACCAACCTTGGTAGGACCAACCCTGGTAGACCTGACTCTAGTGATGTCAACCCTAGTGGGACAAACCCTGGTAGGACCAACCCTGGGAGGACCAACCCCGGTGGGACAAACCCTGGTGGAACCAACCCTGGTGGGACCAACCCTGGTAGACCCAACCCTGGTAGGATCAACCCTGGTAGGACCAACCCTGGTAGACCCGACCCTAGTGGGACCAACCCTGGTAGACCTGACTCTAGTGGGATCAACCCTGGTGGGACAAACCTTGTACCAACCCTGGTGGGACAAACTCTGGTAGATCCAACCCTAGTGGGATCGATCCTAGTGATATCAACGCTGGTGGGATCAACCCTGGTGGGACCAACGCTGGTGGGACAAACCCTGGTGGGACCAACCCTGCCCTGGTCCTGCTGGTCATGGGTGTTTTGGGTGGCTTTGGTTGGGTTGACACAGACCTGAGTCACACACAGCTGGAGGAACCCTGTGGGGCTGGTGGAGCAGATCCCCCAGGGTTGGGTGGGGTCCACACCTATTGGGTTGTGGGACTGGAGGGACCACAGAGAGATTGGCAGGGTCCATGCACGGTGGTCAGTAGGACTGGAGGAACCACAGGAGACCATCACCATCCATGCATGGTGGTCTGCAGGACCAGAGGGACCATAGGAGGATGGTGAGGTCCATGCACAGCAGTTGACAGGATCAGGAGGACCACAGGAGACCATCAGGGTCCATGCATGGTGGTCTGTAGGACTGGAAGGTCCACGGTAGGATGGTGAGGTCCATGCATGGCAGTTGATGGGATCAGGAGGACCATAGGAGATCATCAGGGTCCATGCATGGTGGTCTGCAGGA